CGGCACCCCAAAACGCCTCCTGTACCCTAATCTCTGAGCCGCCTCCTGCACCCAAACTCCCTCCCTCTTGGTTAACTGGAATTTTTGATTTACCAGCACCCTCCAGCCCCGCAACATGCCAGATAACAAAGCTTTTACTGTAATTGGTTTTACTATCCCCTTTTGCTTAATCTGGGTTCTGTGAGTAAGAACCAAGTGCCATTTTGAGGCGAGGGTAGATAATCAACATTTTTATTCCCTCTCTCTTTACTTTAACAGACAGGTTCTAACATTCAAAGCAGTGAGGTGTTGCTTGATCGTTAGTCTCCATTCTTAGCAAAATACTTAAGACTACTGAGCCTAAGTCACTGTATGAAAACAATGACTTACTTGCATCTCTTCCCGATTATCACTTCTATCCAGTTTATCAATCTCTGTCTTCTCCAGATGAAGATGGGGACATGATTGCCTTCTCCAGTGACGAAGAACTCAAGATGGCACTGCCATATGTGAAGGATGGCATTTTTCGTATTTACATCAAAGGTAACCTTAGCTCTTGAGAGCCGCTATACCACCACAAAGAGATGCATGGTTGGCATTGTGCTTCTGTAATGAGTTACCGAGTATGGCAGAGGTAATACTTGGAGTACCTGAGGAAGGGTGAACACATTGGCTGCTTCAGGAGCAATAGGCAAGGAAGCACACTTGCCTTCCTCTGCTACAAGGATGGTACTGTGATATGGGTCCCTTGAGGGCAGGGTGAACAAAGCATGAAAAAGGTGTTTATGGGCTTGGAGGAACCCTATTCAATTTTGCTGAGCAGGGAATAAACTAGAAAATCCACTGTCAGATTCTACTCTAATACAAAATTCACATTATTGGATAGTTACTTTAAGAAAAAAATAACATGGCTGGACCTTCACTAGCACTATCCACCGATGAGAAGAGTTGTGCAATTTCATTCTTAATCATGACTCATTCAGTACTCCTCTCTGATTTTACTAGCATTTTAACATACCTCATAGTAGCACTCTGATGGTTGGAGTCAGTGCTCACATATACCTTTACGCTCTGCTTGCATAGCTTCAAAGACTGAGACCTGCACAGTTTGCATATCACTGCTCCTTGTCCCTCCCTTCCTGTCTATTAAACCTGCTTGTTTTCTCTAAACTTCTCTGAAAAGTTTGTATTGTGTCTTATGATGTTTGCATGATGCCTGGAACAATGGGGCACAAACTTGATGGATCTTGGTACTGACATGATACAAGTTAAGGAATGGAATAGACTGTGGAAGTTATAAGGCTGCTGAAGTGGGGCAAAAAGTTATCCATTCTCAGCCTTGAGAAACTGATTGTGATTACGTTTCATTAAGTGTAGGTTTGGGGTGTGAAACTACTTCCTTAATGCATAACTTAGTTCTGAGGACCAGTCCTCTAACGATTCTTGCACTGGAGCAACAATGTAAAAATCCAACCTGGAAAAGCTAACACTTGAGGGGCATTGCTGACTTTTGGCTTTGAGTTTAAGAGAGGGACACTAGCAATTGCAATATATTCAGCAAAGCAGACCTCTTATTCTAGAACTCTTGTGGGTGTGGTGGGTTGTTTTTTTTTTTAAATACCCCTTCACATGAGAGCTAGTCAGGAGCTATTGAATAGACTGGTCTCAATATCATGCTCTGATCCAGATTTATGCTGGATTTTTCCTGCGTATGTCTTTAGTTTAAATCGTACAATGAACGGTGTAGTAGAGGTAGTATCCTGACTAATGATGGAAGGGAAGAATTAAAAAAAAAAAAAAAATTGTTCTTACAGACTAGATGTTGTGGTAAGCAGCAAAAGTTGAAGGCAAGAGCATCAATTCTTGTCTGAGCAAAACCTCTAATGCAGTAGTCTAAGATGGAACTCTTAAAGGAGATTTACCAGTCTCAGGAGGGAATCACATAACTTAAAATTTAAAAATGGCACTCTTGCCTGAGTGCAGATAAACTAATGGAAAACTTAAAGTAAATGGAGAACTTTCCATTGTTCTAAAAACAATGGCTTGAGGATTGATACCTTATACCTTTGAATTAAAATAATTGGGAACGTGACTCAAACAAATGCTCATCTATTTCAGAAGAAGTAATCCACTAAAATCCTGTGGTTTCTGTAACCTCTAAACAATATTGCAAGTAGCATCTATATAAACTAGTGCAGGGATTCTCAAACTATCATACTGCAGACAGCTCCTTCCATCATCTTCCACTCATAATCCTATTCAATATGAATCCTATGAATAGTGCATAAGTAGGCATGATGGGCACCTCTGATTAGTAGGGCTTCAATGACAAGAGCTAATGTGTGCATATTATGTACTACTAAATACATGTATAGAAACTTTCAATGGATCATACTCCTTTAAAGACTTAAAATGGCAATCTACCAGTTTCCTTTGTACTATAACGGCATTTTCTTTTTAGAGAAAAAGGAGTGCAGACGTGAGCATCGTTCACAGTGCAACCAGGAGCGTCCCCCCAATGTGGTGCACCCCAATGTGATCTGTGATGGCTGTGAGGGACCAGTGGTAGGTGCTCGATTCAAATGCACTATTTGCCCAGACTATGACCTATGCAGCACCTGTGAGGGGAAAGGCATCCACAAGGAGCACAACATGATCATGTTTCAAAGCCCGCTGCTCAATCCATTTGAGGTGAGCAAAACTAACTTCTAGCATGGGGAAGGACTGGTCTAGAGGGGAGCCTGTAGAGGACAGCTAAATGTAGGATAAACTGTAGATATTAGGTAGCTGTATCTTGTGGCTTATAATTAGAATACTCTGTCTAAATATGTGGATTCATGTAACTTTCCCGCCCTCCCCCTCCCCAGTGGTTTCCCAGAGGTCGCTGGCTTCGTAAGATGAGACATGGGGTTCCACCCTTCGCATGGATGCATGGCTGGGGGCACCCTGGTCCTGCCACTCCATGTGAAAACTCTGAGCAGGACTCTGGGCAGGCACAAGCCAGTGCTGCACCCCAAAATCCAGACCCTGAGCAAGGTAAGGATGGAATAACTTGGTCAATGAAGTATTCAAGGTGAAATAACTGATCACTTTTGCAGAGTAGTGTGGAGTCTTTGGATTAAGTTTGTACTTTTAAGTATTTTTAAACCAGGTTTGCTAGAACATAATGATTAAAGGGAGGGTGTGTGTGTGTGATAGGATGGTCTGGTAGAATTACCAAAACCCCTCTTTAAACTTGAAGAAATAGATTGTGCATGGTACTCCTAATTTCTTTTAACCTGCAGTACCTAATTTTTTAAATATTTTTTTAAAGAAGCCTTTAACAGCCAGTCGCAGGACCACAATGTCACCTTTTTAAAGAATGTTGGGGAGAGTGTTGCAGCCATGCTGAGTCCTCTTGGTAAGTGACTTTTAATCTGCTATCCCAAATCCAGCATTTTACCATAGCTTGTATCCACAGGAACAGTGGCCTACTTCTGCCTCACAGGAGACCTGAGCCATTTCTGGCCACTCAGCTTGGCACATGTTTCTCCACATCTCAGTGAAGGTCTATTCTCCAACAAACATACGAGAGACATTAGGAGTGTCATTCTTCAGACTGAGGCAAAAGATGAGGCATATGCTACTTTACTATGTAATGTCAGTATTTAACTGGGAAGAATCAGTGGTGACTCAAGGGACTCACCTGGCTCCTGTGAGAGTGTAAATTATAGTTCCCTCCTTTGTCCTAAGTGAATGTAATGAGCACCTCTCTCTGACATGAGGAGGTGAAGCACATGTACAACAGTAACATGAAAATGTGCACCAAGCTGGTACTCCATTTGGAATTCTAAGTGCTAGACTTCTACCTTCAGGTACCCCGGAGGGGATGAGATGCTGTAGATGAAAATAGAACAGTTCCCCGCCCCCCACTTCTCCCCCCCCCCCCCCAGCCTCGTTTAAAATAACACAGATTAATGTGAGATCACTGAAGGAACTTCCAGGACTGCATTCTGGAGACAAGCGTACCGACTCTTCTCCCCCTCAACTGTTTTCTAGGCATTGAAGTAGATATTGATGTCGAACATGGAGGACAAAAAACCAAAGTGACTCCCCCGTGTCCAAGTTCACAGAAGAGTGATTCGGAGCCTGGAGGTAGTGCCAGTAGCCAAAATGGCCAGCCCAAACCAGAAGGGAGTAAAGAACCGGTCACTGAGAAAGAAGATTCTATTACAGAGCAGATGCAGGAGATGGTGATAGAGCCTCCATCCACACATATGGAAGACGGCAATTTCCTGTCGCAGGTACGTGAATTCCTTTACTAGATGACAGACATGACAAGTTCCTTTTTGCCCTGTTCTGGTTCTTCCTACCATAAACTAAGTAGCATCACTGGAATGGATTTCAATAGCACAAATCACAGTGTAGATATTTCTGTTGGGCTCTTAGCATTCAATCCCATAAACTCCTCTCACTAAAAGAAAGGAATAAGCCTTTTTCATGTAGTTGGTAGATAACAGCAGAGCTTGCATCCTACTCTGGAGAACTGTGCAAGACATTGGCTCCTTTGTCTTTACACTTACAGGAACAGGGTGAATCCAGTAGTTCTGCAGGGGGTGATGAGGGCTGGACCCACTTATCTTCAAAAGAAGTGGATCCCTCCACAGGTGAACTGCAGTCTCTCCAACTTCCAGAGACACAGGGTCCCAGCTCTTTAGACCCATTTCAGGTTCCCCCCAGACCAGGACCTACAGGACTACGAGAAGCTGCACTCTACCCACATCTCCCACCAGGTGCGTGGCTATATTTTGGTCAACCACCTGTCCCTTTCCAATAAAGCCTGTTGCTCCTTGGGTTGCTAGTATTAGGACTTCAATGCTGCCCATCATACGGGCTGTAAGAACAAAGAGCGGAAAACCTTGTCTGTGGCTGAACTATGGCTAAGGCTGCTTCGGAGCCACCTCTTGCAGCATTTCATTGGAGTGGTGGTGGAAATAAGTTAACTTCAGGCTGAGTTTTTTGTATTGCCCTGGATGACTCATAGTTTGTGTATGGGAAAACTAAACTGTAGTCTGACACATACTGCCAGGTGCACTAAATAAAATTGGAAAACCCAAGATTTATGGGGCAGTAGTAAATACTAGGGGTTAGAGGGGGAAAATTCAGAGATGCTTAGTAAGGATATTCCACTATAAGCAGTTAGCTAAGTAAACTATATTTAATTCAGCCAACCAATTAGGAAATGCTGTCCTTGCTTCCTACAAGGGGCAGAGATGTTATGAGCATCCCCTTAAGAGTAAGATGGCATTTTCTAAGGAGAGCCAGTAATGGAATACTGGGCCATAATAGCCACTGCCTGACTCCAGCTATTCTTCATGCAAGGATGCTGGAGATCAAGTTTGATCATGCATTTACAATAAGGCATGTGCTGTTGAACTGTATAGCATTAAGTTCTTTAGGAAGCCAGGTCAAGGGATATATCCTTGATAAGTAACTTGCTATACAACATGGTGACAGTGATAGTTGATATGTAGGTACAGCACAAGTTCCTCAACTCCTTTACTGTTTGTTAAACTGTAGGTGTAATCCCACTCTGTACTCGTAACTTTTGATTTAACAGAAGCAGACCCCCGCCTGATTGAATCTCTGTCCCAGATGCTCTCCATGGGTTTCTCTGATGATGGTGGATGGCTGACCCGTCTCCTCCAGGCAAAGAAATGTGACATTGGGGCAGCACTGGATACCATCCAGTATTCCAAGCAACCACCTCGTTCCTAATGGCATTTGCATAAGCTAGAGCACTTTCCTGTGAACTGATAACTGAACAGCAGTTCTACGCTGATTCTTTGTCTCCCTGTCAGAGGGGTCATTGTCTCTTTTTCTGATTCCTTGTTGGGAAAAATAAATATTTCTTGTCTTTAATTATTCATTTGTTTGTGAAATATCTGACTGTAAAATGTGCAGGGGTAACCTAGCCATTCCAGGGACAAGCTGCAAAGCACTAATACATCTGGGCTGGAATTTAGTTTAGGAAGAACACCCAACCTGGGAGAATTCAGGGTCTTGGGCAAAGTAAAGAAGTAATCAATGGTCTCACTTCTAGAAGCTGTGAATGTTGCTGAGACAAGAACTGCTTCTCATTCTGCAGCAACTATTCTCTACCTACAGCAGTGCAACCCTCATGGTATCTGCTCACACAAGTATCAGAGGAGGGTTCTTACCTTATTTTGCCAGCAACCCAATAGCATCTACTAGTCCAGAAGCAAATTCCAAGCCCTTGGAGAGAACAGCTACACTTCCCAGATCGCTTAGTAAATTCCTCACTCCCCCTAGGAGGAATGACTGGCTCAAATCATGTCTGCACTACACCAGTCAATGCAGGAGTAAGGGCTCCCACTTCATTGTAGAGTAGTAGAAGCTCAGAGTCTTCCTGCACACAAGTGTTCTGTTTGTTAACTTGTAATGGAAGAAGAGTAATGACACAGATGCACTTAATTCATTTGTCTCTGGAATTAACCTTTCAGAACATTAGCTCTTCTCCAGTACTAGAGGGTAAAGCACCCAGTACTCCTGAGCAGGGACTAGCAGTACAGTACAGCCTGTGACCTTTGTGCTGCAGCAGCAGGGCTTTGCCTCTGGAACTGGGGGGGGGAAAAGCACAGCTAGAGCTTATGGCTGATCAAGAGCCCACCTTTCAACATCCTCCTCAGACACAGCTGCTGGGAGAGTACAAGGCACTACCCGAGGAAACTAGTGTATTACAAACCAAGTCTGTTACTGGTGAACAGTGAAACCCCACAATAATTGCCCTGAATGGAAAAAGTCTCATAGGTCAGTTTTTCTTCTCTAAACAGAAAGATCAGGGATATTTCCCTCACAATATTCATTCCATGTTAATTCTAACTTTGGAAGAAAGTGAGGGATTAAGACTCTGTCCTTCCCAATAGCATTTCCATAGGCAGCTAGGGTTGTTAAACTAGGGACACCAACAGGCTTTAAGGATCATCACGCACCTTGGGGAAAAAAAACCCAGGCTTTTAAAAACAGCTTTTTATAGAGGTGATAAGCATAAATGCTCCAACTCTAGCTTAAAAAGGAAACACTTCACCACACCCCATCTATCTGGCAAAATACAGAGCATGAAAATGTGCAATGTTCTAACAAACTGAGAAACACTAATAGTATTTACTAGGCTACACTATGCCTCACTTGAAGTGAGTCACTTCAACAGCAGAAGTAGGAGGGCTGGCTAGAAAAGTAAAAGCCTAGCCAGTCTCAGGTGGGCAGAGAGAGTCAAAGTGTAAAGCCTGGAACTTTTCAAAGATCATCATCAAAATCATCATCTGTGCAAAAGAGGCTGCTATTTAGAGCAGTAAGACACTGAGGCACACCACTAGAGTTAGCAAAAGGATCTGTAGAAGCAAAGGTCACAGTGTCCTTAGATAAACAGTTTGCTGGCATCACAGTGCAGGCCAAGTACAACCTGCCTTCATTATTCTCTGCAACATCAGACCCTGCCCTAATCAGGTGGTCCTTATATTTTCCAGAAAGCACATCCCCAATAGCTGCATGGCTGATGTCAAAGGCAGTCTGCACACTGGCAGCCAGTGTGGTGCTATGAAGCTTTGAGGTATATTTCTGTGCTATATACTTATTGTTGGTGAAGCTCTTTTCAGTTTGGGTACCTGTGCCTGGAGATACAGAATCTTCCTCCTGCTGTGGATATCCATCAGCCATTAGAAAGTTTCCTGCAGAGGCCCCCTGTGTCTCTAATTTCCAACTGTTCTTCTGTGCTGCAAGGGTTAAGTTACCATTATTACAGCTGCTGGGAGACAGGAGAAATTTTTCCCACTTGGACACGGTGACATCAGCTGACTCTGGAGCTTGTGTATTCTCAGGTACCCAAAACTCATTGATAGCAGGAACCACAATGCTGTTACATATATAATCTCCACAGTCCTGTTCAGCTACAGTTGTTGAATCTTTCCTGCTCTGTAACAAGAAAGACAAAATGGCTGTGCTTGCTGGTGCTATAGCCTAACTACAGTGGGCCTGGTGAACACAGAACTGACAAGACAGACATGCAAGAAGTAATCCTGTTCTTCCAAACAGCCTCACTGCTATTCCTCATCCCCTCACTTTCTAGGGAGAGGTGAGATTGGTACAGAGCCAGCTATTCTAACACATGGTAGAAAAGAACAGTCATGAAGCAGAACCCACTCTGCCCAGCTCAGCTCTACTGCGCAAAGAATATGAGCTGTTTTGAAATTGTATTTCACTAGAGGTTGAGTATATCCAAATATTTCATTTCACTTACACAAAGATCATAAAAAAACACATCACTTAATTAGTCATCAGCATATAATCCTAAATAAGCAGATGAAAGGGGAACCCTGCTGGTTTGATCTCCTGACCTCTATCGGGCTGTCTATACATTATCTTTCTAGGTACTCATTTTGCCCCCATCGCTGTAGTATCTGAGTGCCTCACAATCTTTATGTATGTACCCTCACAATACCCCCAGGGGGCAGGGCAGTGCTATTATCCCCATTGTACAGATGGAGAACACTAACACTGAGTAACTTACCCCAAGGTCCCACAGGAAGTCTCTGGCAGAGCAGGACACTGAACCTGGGTCTCCCACGTCCAAGGCTATAGACCATCCAGCCTTTCTCCTCCCCTCAATGAGGGAATAAGCTACACCACTAAGCACCTGTTAAACTGGGTCCACACTAGCAGTTGTACTGATTTCATTATTTTGGTTAAAAAAATTTATATCGCTAACTAAAATATAGTTATGCTGGTATAAAATTGTTTACAAACAGGGCTCAGACTGGGAAAGCTCAGGAAACCAGGATCTCTGGTGTTTGGGTGTAGCTCAGCACCTCTTCTTTAGTCAGCTGCCCAGGGTGCAGTTTCATCCAACCTCTGGTTTGAAAAAGGAGGCCTGCTTGTTTTAAGAATTATGGGCTGGAGCTTGGCTCTTTATTTACTGAAGCTGTATTTCACTCCTCTCAACCAGAGGACCAATGAAGCTGAACTAAGAAAGGGGCAGAGTAAATAATTATTTGTGAAATCTCTTCACTGACCGCATATTCAGCAAATTCGATACTTGTTACCACCACCCTCTGACTGACTCCTTCACAACAGGGCCAGAGCCACCCACTACACTGTTAATTACAAGCAGTCACTGCCCAATTGTGGCAAGAGCAAGGAAAGCATGATACAAGGAGCAGTGAGGAAGGCCAGCCAAGTCCAGTGCTAGCCTGGGAAGTTGGAGACCCAGGCTCAATTCCATGCTCCACCACAGACTGTGTGTAACCTTGGGCAAGTCACTTAGTCTCTCAGTGTCTCAGTTCCCCATCTGTAAAATGGGGATGGTTAGCACATCCCCATCCCGTACAAGGGATAAATACATAAGGTTATGAGGTGCTAGGATACTTACATGACACCATCCCCCCTCTACCATAATATATAAGGTCAACAGAGTAGCTGGGCTAACAGGAGATTTTGACAGCAACCCTAATCTATAGCCAATTTACTGGTGAGGAGCATGCAATCACTCTGCTGATGGGAGAGTCAGGCAGAGGGGGCTAGTTTACACAGAAACAGCATTATATTTGTCTAACTATAAACTTCAAAGATAAACTATTGTTATGCAGATTTAGTCCTCCTGCCTCCCCCGCAAAGAGATGGTTACATGGAAGGATGGGAGAAAGGAGGGGAAATGATTTTATAACAACCTTTGAATGAAGCACACATACAAGGCCAAAGAAAATAATTTAGAGGCAGGAAGCATTTGCTGCAACAAAATACCTCAAAGGTTTTGACTTTCTTGGCTTGATCAGCGAGCCCATAAATTCCCTTTTCCTCAAAGCACTCCTGAGCATCGTTGTGGCAGAAGCTGCTCTTGCGTTTCCTGGTAGGGGAGCAGGAGATGGGAATTCACAGAGATGTTAGATTAGCTCAGATGGGAAATTTCAGAGATAAAAAAAGTGCAGATCTGCCAAGAGGTGAGGTTTTCATCCCCAAGTACCCAACACTCCTCAGGTCAGTTTGGATTGGTCACTGCAGCCTCAGCTAAATTCAGTGAACATGCCCAAAATATCCCCACCATCAAGCTAAAATAAGGATTATGGAAGAAGTTATTTTTGCACCTTTGTTCTTCCACAATCTTCCTTTTATGGGAGTTCAGCTGCTCTCTGTCTGTATACACCTCCTCCTCCTGATCTTCACTGTCCTTGTCCAGATACTTATTCCAGCGGCTGACCACGGGAATGAATTCCACCTCTTCTTCCTACAACATTGTAGAATGACTCAGAATGATTCCTCCAAGGAGCCCCCACAGGTGGAGTCACCACAGAGATACTAAAGTCCTAACTTTCATTGGCTTCAATAAGAATTTAGTGAGCTCAGCATTTCATGGGAAGAGATCCCAAACTGAGCTGTATTAGTGGTTATGTTCCAAAACATCATCAATCATCATCATCATGGAGCAGAGCTTCCACACATCCTATCCCATTCACACACTGTCCTGGAGCCTCTCCACTCACTGGCTAGTTTCTTCATTTGTTTTATAGCTAGCACACAGTCTTCAGAAAAATTTGGAGGGAACATTTGCCGCTGCACTACATGGGACCCTCTTTGCTACTTTACAATTGGATGGTGTTTGATTTAGCTTTGTAGATACCATTTGTCTCATAGTATCTTACCTGCCAGCCCATGTTTTCTTCATGTGGAACTGCTGTGTTCTCTTTGTTGTCATTCAGTGGTTCTTCTATACACCTAAAAATAAAAGATTTAGCCTAGGGTTCCTACGGTATTTGTCTTACATCTATATGCACCTAACCATTAGCACCAGGGACAGAGAGCAGGATGAAACATATGTAGGAAAACAAGTCCACAGAACAGCAGATGTGAACTATAGGATTTGCCAGTAGATATGGTAAGGCCTATTTCCCAGATATTTGCAAGTGGACTGGGTGGTTGGCGGAAGGTCTCCTTTCTCCTACCCAGAGCAGTAAGGCTCATTTACAACCCTCAATGCTCACACAACCTGTTCATTTTTAATCAGCATGAGTGATATAGGAGTGTGCCTTTCAGGGCAGCCTGCTTAATTCCACAGATTCTACACTAATCAATTAGGGAAAAGTCAAATTCTTCTTAAAGCCCATTGAGAACAGCAATAGTTTCCTCTCCACACAGAGAAAAATATAGAAAAGCCTAATGTTGAAGCACTACACATACTTCACTGGGTCACCCAGCTAGTTTTGACTGACTACTACAAACAAGCAGAAGGTTCTTCTAACAGCTAGAAAGTTTGAGATCAGTCTCCCACAACTGAATTCTGTGGTGATGGAAACAGAAAACAGCCAGATTTTCCAGCACAGTGACCATTACACCCAAGCTGCTGACATTAAACAAACCTCTCAGCACTAGCAGTGGGGAATGCCCACCGATACTTAATGGAAACTACTTGAATTCCAACACCGCAAACAAGGAGGTGAGGATTTTCATTTAGCCTCCCAACCTGAGAGGACTGGGACTCACCCTTGCACAATTCCAATACTGCTAAACAGAGTCTGTGCAATAGGTCACCACCCCCACAGTCAGTCAGGAAGTAAACAAAAAGGGCCAGTTTCAAAGATCATCCACTGCATTTTTGCATATGAACTATGTAAACACAATCTGTGCAATTTACCAACTGAACTTATTTGACAGGACTTCTAGTGAAAAAACAAGGTTAGGACAATATGTTCCATGGATAATTTGTCCCTAAGATCTGCTTGACATGATTGTGTTCCACATCTTTGCAACTGTAAGAAATTCACTCCCTCCAGAGATCAGCGTATGTAGTTTCCATTTTGAGATCTGAGATGTTGAGTGCATTCATTGAGACTTGCATATTAAAATAAAGGAACAGATAAGAAATACTCAATACTCTACCAAGATGTTCCCTCAGCTGCCACCTCTGTCCCAGCCCGCAGCAAGTTTAATTTTTGGACATGGCGTCTACAGTCAGATCCAGAGCCTTGGCCATAAGCCTGAAAAGGAAATTAAGTCACAGATGAGGGAGAGAAGGTCTCGCTCCGGCTCTAGCGCAACATAAAGAAACAGTCTCCGCACACTCACCTTTAGCAGCAACTGCTTCTCACCACACATTTTGCAGCTCCATTTTTTGCTCTTTTTAACCTAAGACAATGATTTGAGGAGAGCAGTCAGCACTGAGTCTAATAGCAGGGATGTGCCATTTGCCTTCAGGCCCCAACTGCCCAGCACATAGTGAGACATCACCCACCTGTACTGCTCTAGGCCTACACTGGCTGCAGCTGCTTGTCTCCCTTCAGCTGGACAGATCTCTGAGCTCCTGCAATGCCTTCAACAGACCTCCCCAGGCCTCAGCCCCCTGAGGCCAGAGCACCCCTATAGAACCCCCTTGGCCAGAGCCGCTGCAGGACACCCCCAAGACCTCACCACCCCCCAGGCCAGAGACCCATGCAGGATTCCCCCCCCTCCCACCGACTTCCTCTCCCCCAAGCACCAACTCCTGGCGGAATTCCGCGCCACTGCACACACGCAGAATTCACATTCCCTGCAGATTTTTTCTTTCCTCTGCAGAAAATACCTTATGTTGGAGAGGCACTGCAGTTATGCCTTTCGCCCACCAGGGGCTGCTGTGGCATCAGAACAGAGGGAAGCTGGCTCACCGGCCACTGCAGCCAGCAGGCAATAGTGAGAAGAGGCTACGTTCCTCACAGTACCCTGCATGTGAGGCCAGGTGAGAAGGCATGGGATAGGGGGTGGACAGACAGAGCGGGGCACACAGGGCTGCTGGGAGGGTCACAGACTGGGGTTCAGATGGGCTAGTGGGCGGGGACAGACTGGAGTGGGGGGCTGAATAGATGCAGGGATACAAGGGGACAAGGGGGTGCAGGGATACAAGGGGATGGGGGTGGCTGAGCGGAGCTCAGGGACACAAGACGTGCCTGAGTAAAGGTGCAGGGACACATGGGGATGGGACAGCTGTACCTGACTGAGAGAGGCTAGGGCTCAGCCAGAGTTTACATGGGTGAGGCTCCCCAACTCCCTAACAATCCACAACCCAAAAACTCCAACTGTTCTATATTTCTCCCACCCACACCCAACAACTCTCCAAGTTCACTCCCAGGCTCCTTCCCAGCAATTACTTCCCTCTCCTTCAGCTCCTCTGTTACCCTGACTTCCCCAAACCTTTGCACTGCTTCTGAGGGGTGCAGTAAATAAGCTACTGTATTGTAGTTTAAAAGAATTATTACTCAAATTCTGTATTTAATTGACAGCCCTAATTATCGCACATAACTCACGCGATTAACTCAAAAAAATCAATCGTGATTAATCGCAGTTTTAATTGCGCTGTTAAACAACAGAATACCAACTGAAATGTATTAAATATTTTAGATGATTTTCTACATTTTAAAATATATTTATTCCAATTACAGCACAGAATACAAAGTGTACACTGATCACTTTATATTATTTTATTACAAAGAGTTGCACTGTAAAAATGATAAATGAAATAAATAGTATTTTTCAATTCATCTCATACAATACCGTAATGCAATCTCTGTATCATGACAGTGCGATTTACAACAAATGTAGATTGGGCGCAGAATTTTAAATTTTTGGTGCGGAATTCCCCCAGGAGTAAGGACCTCCGCCCCCCCACCCAACACCTCGCCGCCCCCCGCGCCCAACATCTCGCCCCCCAAGACCCTCGCCGCCCCCCGCGCCCAACACCTCGCCCCCCCCCGCGCCCAACACCTCGCCCCCCCAGACGCTGCCGCCCCCCGCGCCCAACACCTCGCCCCCCACCCAACACATTGCCCCCCGCCCAACACCTCGCCCCCTGCCCAAGACCTCGCCCCCCGCCCAACACATTGCCCCCCCACCCAACACCTCGCCCCCCCCCAAGACGCTGCCGCCCCCCCGCCCAACACCTCGCCGCCCCAAGCCCGCCCAACACCTCGCCCCCCAAGACCTCGCCCCCCGCCCAACACATTGCCCCCCACCCAACACCTCGCCCCCCCCCAGACGCATTGCCCCCCCGCCCAACACCTCGCCCCCCCAAGACCTCGTCGCCCCCCGCCCAACACCTCGCCCCCCCCGACCTCGACGCCCCCCCGCCCAGCACCTCGCCCCCCAAGACCAGAAACCCCCCCCCCCCCCAAAGACCAGAGACCCTCCCGTTAACTCCCCAAGCTGCCCCACCTGGTGGACCTGGAAGGTGCCGCAGGAGAAGCACCTCAGCACCCGGAACCGTTGCCCCATCCCGTGGAGCGGCCCCCCCCAGCGCGCGCGCCCCCGACACCCGCCGCCCCCTCCCCGGCTTCCGGCCACACACGCTGGCCTCTACTTCCGCTTGAGAGACCGTCCCCCTGCCAGCGGGGCGCTCTGTGGGACCGACTCCCCGCAGTCCTCCAACCCCGCCCCCTGCCGGAGCTGCGGAGTCTGCTCTTGCGCGGAGCCCCGGGCGGGGAATGGGATGAGGAGGGCGAGGGCGGCGGCACCCCGGGGCCCCCAGGCAGAGCCCCGCCCGGGGCCCGGCTCGGGGCCGTGGTGCCGGCGCGGAGGAAAGGGAGATCCGAGCCCTGCCCCCCCCCGACAGGTGGTTTTGTTTGTTCCCTGCTGTCTCCCGCCTTGCCCCCTTAACCGCCCCCCCCGCTTTCCTTTCCTGCCACCCAGTGGCCGGCCGAGGAACTGCAGCTTAACACTCGCCCGGGGGCACGGGCGGTTTTCACGGATTCGGGCTGTGCAATTTGTAAAACCGTCCTGTTGAGGCTCCTCCCCAGCGCTGATATGTAAATACTAGCAGCTGGTTGCTTCAGTGCCCCTGTGTCTTGTCACCTCTACCTCACCCCAGCGGCTCCGCATGCTGTCTCCTTCCTAGCTCCTACCCTTCCTCCTACAGCCCCTCTTCCTTGCTTTTCTGCTCAGCAGATCCTCCAAACTGAGCCTCACCCTAACGTTCGCCAACCACCACGCTGCTTGCATGTCGCACCCCTTTCTCTGTGTCTGTTTAGTCTGTTTACACTGGAAGCTCTTTGGGGCAGGGACTGTTTATCCAACTTTGTACAGGGCCTAGCACCAACAGGCCCTATTCTAGGTTAGGCCTAAATTCTACTATTCTATAATCAATCAAGACGCGTCTCCCAACTCAGACTGATATTTGTCATTACACCTTCAAGGTTCATCTAGAAATTATCTATCAGTGTTCATAAGGAAGCAGATTTTTCATTTGCTTTTGGGTATATAATGTGAGACATTGGGTATCAGTGCTTGGCTACATGGATTCTCTCTTCATCCATTTAGTTTGTAATTAGGCCATATTCCATGCCGTTTAGAGTTGATGGGTCCAATAACCTCTAGCTGTTCAGTTACTTTATGGGATTAAGCAATACAATTTTCTTCCTTCCCCACTGGTACGAAAAAGGCTTTTCTTTACTATTAGCACAGCTCCTTGACTTTTCAAATGCAGTCAGCAGTGGTAAAGTAAGTTTATTTGGGATTTTTTAGTATTTGTACTGCTGTAGCATCTTGGAACCCAGCATGTCTCTCCTCCAGGCAGGTTGGTTGGTTCATGTGAATTTTTCAAGAATCCCCAGACCTGTTTTTTAATCAATTTCCCCCCATAAGCTCTTCCTCACTCCCAAGTTTTTTGAAGACAACCATTTGTGGGTGTATCAATGCTATTTCCTGCCCTCACTACTTAATGGCCTCTATTACTCATGAACACCATAGCAGTTTAAATGCCCACTCCCATGTCTTTAAATGGAATCTATGTACCCAGAAAGTGTGTTTATTTCATAGAAGCAGCTGACATTTTAAAGATTTTCATGAGAAAAAAATATTCAGAATTTTAAGCTCTTCTATTCCCTATTTCAGATCACACAGGAGTACATGCAAGATAACTATAGCTTCTTTGGTCAATCAAATCTTTAAATATATATATAGGCAACAAGGAATCTTTCTATAGTACTTACAAAGAGTTATTGTTAGAATTTCCACTTTTAGGAGAAAACCCAGCAGGAGTGCACTGGAGAGCACATAAGGCTACCCAGAGTTGCTGGCAGCTTATTCCATGTGGCTTTGGAAGATTTTTTTTCTTTTAATGTAATGGGGGGGGGTGTAAAATTTTTTATTTGTAAAAATCAGCCATAAATTTGCCAAAGAACCAAAAAGCAGAAAGTGTCCAAAAACCTTTCTGCACAGGATCTCTCTGACCTTTTCAAATAGGAAATCAACAAGATCTGCCTTTAACTCTCCCCTCCACCTTTTCTGTCGGTCTTGAGTCAGGCCCTTTCCTCATCCCTTGACGACTGTCCTCTCCTCCTCTCTGTGCTTGATACTAGTTATATTTTCCCAAGTCCATTCAAAATGCTGCTGGCTCTTCTCTTTGACCACATTACTCCTTTCAGTCTTTCTTGGCTTGCAATCTCTACTGTATTAGATATTCTTACCTTTCCCATTTAGCCCCACCCTATCAGATCTAAAGTACCGAGCTGTCAATTACCCCACCAGTGCTCTTGCATTGATGCCAACATCAATTGCCCATGTATCTTTAAGGTACCTCCATACCTTCTACGATGCCACTAGCTGTGTATTGAAAATCTTCCCATCAAAACGTGAGAACTTTATCCTCTTAAATCCCCCCTTAATACCTACCTCTGCCCTAAAGCATACAAATCACTGCTGACCTAGTTAGGCAAGTGCAAGCTGCAACTTTTGATCATAATGGTCCCTTCTGACCTTAGTATCTATGAAACTTTGTGTTTCTGCTAACTGTTCACATTATCATGTCCTCCCAACCCACTCCCATTCTATTTGTTTGTTTTGTCCACCTACTGAAGTCTGTCCAAAACCTAGACTTGTGAGCTTTCTGGGGCAGGGACCATCTTTTGTGACTTGTCTGTACAGTGTCTGGCACAATGCAGTGCCTCTCTCATACTTGGTGGTGGTTCCTTGGAGTTGTAATATAGATTATCATAAAAAGAAAAGGAGTACTAGTGGCATATTTGAGCATAAATTGGTTAGTCTCTAAGGTGTCACTAGTACTCCTTTTTGTTTTGCAAATACAGACTAAAACGGCTGCTACTCTGAAACCATAGATTATCACAGAATATCAGGGTTAGACGGGACCTCAGGAGGTCATCTAGTCCAACCCCCTGCTCAAAGCAGGACCAATCCCCAATTTTTGGCCCATATCCCTAAATGGCCCCCTCAAGGATTGAACTCACAACCCTGGATTTAGCAGGCCAATGCTCAAACCACTGAGCTATCCCTCCCCCATATATAATATAATCACATCCTAAATTGTATCCTCTGGATTATTAGCCAAAATTTTTGGTGTACTCTTAACTCAAACAGCTTGCTTCC